GACGGCTCTCTTGGACCTTCCTTTCACAGTTTAGAGCCTTAGCTCTATAGCTCTAGACCTAGGCATTATACAATGCTTATCTCTAGGACTTTTTCATTATTTTGTGCCTAGCCCTTATAGCTCCCAATACCTATCACAGGGCTGGTACAGGTTCTGGTGGGTACTAGGTAAGATGTATGATATTCGATAAGGAGAGAAGAAGGCGCACGGAGCAACGCCGACTATATGGTGGGTAGATACCCAAGGCATCCATTCGAGCTAACTAAGAATGGGTAGTGGATATGTAATAGGTATAAGTAGGTATAGGTAGGTATAAATAGGAACAGGTAATGAACCTGTGACAATACCTATATATATAGTCCTCCTTTTAGCACCCTATATAGCTCTTCACTTGTAGATTCTAAGTACACAATCGGAATCCTGTTTATACCCTTTTGATCACAAAGAAACGAATATAAAAAGAAAGAATCAAGTATTGTATTGATAATGAGAATATTGTTTGGTAATATATCCTCTCTATTGAAATTCCCAAATGATCCTTCCAAATGAGATTCTCTAATGAAATTCCATGCAAAACTCCATAACCCTCATACTTTATCCATCCATCTTTCCATCAACAACTTAATCAATACCTCACACTCAACCCCAACTCAATTTCCTCACTCCCTCCTAACCCTATTATTCCATCATACCACCGAATTCTCGTATACCAAACTCTTAACCAAACATTGTTGTATTCGAGAAGCAATGCTTAAGTTTTAAATCGGATAATGCAAAAAGTGAATTCTTCAAAAAAAAAAAAGAAAAAAAAAGGTAAAAGTTAGCTATATTCCGATTGTTGTGAAGAAGAGGAGGATTTACCTTTTGCATTAGAAGGAAACAAACAATTGCAATTGCAATTGTAATTATAACCCCAATAACTTGCTTCAATGTAGTAACCTTTGCTTCCATTAAAACAAGCTTTTCCTTGTACTTTGCCTCCATCAAAGCAAGCTCTTGGGCGTGCTTTGCTTGATCTTGAGTGCGTGTTGCTTGTAATTCTCGTATATCATTATACAATTCCATTATCACTTTTGCTTGCGCCATTTCTTCTTGGGTTTCTTCTTCATTGTTAGTGATGATAATTCTGAATTCTGACTTTGAAGAAGAGTGATTGAAATCCATTTTGATGAATATTGAATAGATAAAGTTTGTATTGGTTTGTGTACTTACTAAGTAATTCCTTTTTGGAATGAATATAAAGAGTTTAAGTATTGATATGGATGTGGATTGTAAATAGGCTTAACTTCGGGGGGCAGAGATATATCAGAAAGGAAGAAAGTTGAACAACTTCAAAAAGAAAGAAGACCTTTTTTTATAGGAATACGATGATTAATAACTCCTCTTTAATCACTTAAAATCTAATCTCCTATCATAGATTCTACTCTTCCACAATATTCACCCTCCTATCATAAACTCTACCCTTCCACTATAGATCTCCACCCTTCT